CTGGCTGGCTCATTCAGGAGAACATGCAACTCTTGATCTCGGGGTTGTGAGTTTGAGCCCCACGTTGGGGGTAGAGTTTACTTAAAAAACAAATTAAAATTGGGGCGCCTGCGTGGCTCAGTCAGTTAAGCGTCTGACTTCGGCTCAGGTCATGATCTCACAGTCCGTGAGCTCGAGCCCCGTGTTGGGCCCTGTGCTGACAGCTCAGAGCCCGGAGCCGGTTTCAGATTCTGTGTCTCCCTCTCTCTCTGACCCTCCCCCGTTCATGCTCTGTCTCTCTCTGTCTCGAAAATAAATAAACGTTAAAAAAATAAAATAAAATTTTTGTCAACAGTAATTCAAACATATCATTGATTAAGTGTATATATGATGAAATGTTATCTCATTTAAACCTCTCAGCGCTGCTCTGGATTAAGTATTATTTCCCCTAGGTAGAAACGAGAGCCCAGGGATTACATAATTTGTGTAGGTCACATAGCTGGTGCACGGAGCCAGGATGTGAAACCCGAGGCACCATACGTGTTTTAAAATATGTTGATGGCGAATTCTGATTCGTTCAGGGCTGCATCGACTCTTGCCTGGGTTTGCTATACTGAGCCTTACAGATGCGTCTCTTTATTTGTGGTCATATGTTGAGCAAGTGATCACATGTGTCTCTCTTTTGCACTTTTCTCGCCATGTTGTATTTGCTTGTTCACACATCTCCACCTGCAAGTGGAGAGAGCCCCTTAGGGTAGAGCTGCCTCTTGTTCATCTCCTTCCAGCGTATCTAGCATGATGGAGGAGAAACTGAAGAGAGACTCGTGGTTAAAGGCACAAAAAAGACACCGATTGGTAGCTTGAGACTGAAGGGAAGGACTACTTCAGGGTTGAAGGGACTGGAACAGCTTGATGGGTGAAAGCTGATCATTTTGTAGGTGCTCAGAGGAGGTGGTATCCTTGCGGGGACAGGACTTGAGCCAGGCAGACAAACCATCCTGGCCTGTGGGAATGGGGGAAGCAAATTTAGGGGGTTGGGAATGTCCATGGGGCACCTTCCCTTACTCAATAAAGATTTACTTTTATTATTTTTATTTACTTATTTTTAAATAGGCTCCATGTGCAACGTGGGGCCTGAACTCACGACCTGAGATCAAGAGTTGGATGCTCCACCAACTGAGCCAGCCAGGCGCCCCACTCAATATTTATTTTTATTTCTTTTTTAATGTTTATGCTTATTTTTGAGAGAGAGGGAGACAGTGTGAGTTGGGGAGGGGCAAAGAGAGAGGGAGACACAGAATCAGAAGCAGGCTCCAGGCTCTGAGCTGTCAGCACGGAGCCCGACACGGGGCTCGAACTCACAAACCGGGAGATCGTGACCTGAGCCGAAGTCGGACACTTAGCCACCCAGGTGCCCCTGAACCGTACGCTTTAAAATGCCTAAAATGGAGGCAGATGGGTGGCTCAGTCGGTTGAGCGTCCGACTCTTCATGTCAGCTCAGGTCATGATTCTAGGGTCACGGGATGGAGCCTGGAGTTGGGCTCTGTGCTGAGCGAAGAGCCTGCTTAAGGTTCTCTCTCTCGCCCTCTGCCCATCCCCCGTTTGCTCTCTCTCTCTCCAAAATAAAAACAATTAAAAACTTAAATGCTTAAAAATAAATAAGTACATAAATAAAATGTTTAAAATGGTAAATGGATTTTAAGTTAAGTGTATTTTTCCATGATTAGAAAACTTATGCTTAGTGAAAGAAGCCAATCACAAAAGGCCACATATTATATGATTCATTCACATGAAATGTCCAGAATAGGCAAATTCATAGAAACAGAAAGTAGCTTAGTGGTTGCTGGGAAATGGAAGAGGGGAGAATGGGGAGTGACTGCCAATGGTCACCAGGCTTCTTTTTGGGGTGATGAGAATGTTCTGGAACCAGATAGTGGTGATGGTTACACAACCTTGTGAATACACGAAAATCTACTAAATTGTACCTTTATTTAAAAGGGTGAATTTTACGGTATGTGAATTATATCTTGATAAAAATTAGTAAGAAATACGTAAGTGCTTCAAGGAATGGGGGGAAGTTATAGGTATGCTTCAAGTCTTCTTTTTTTTTTTAATTTTATTAAGTTATCTCTACACCCAAAGTGGGGCTCGAACTTACAACCCGAGATCAAGGGTCACATGCTCTACTGACTGAGCCAGCCAGGTGCCCCACTTTAGGCTTCCTGTAATCAGTTCTCTTCACCCTTTCAGCAAAAAAATTATTTTCAGCTGACAGTGTGTTGTTTTGTTTTGTTTTAAGTGAACTATACCCCCAACGTGGGGCTCGAACTCACCACCCAAGATCAAGAGTCACATGCTGCATGGACTAAGCCAGCCAGTCTTATATTATTAACTATTATTACCTCTGATAATTCTGATAACTGTTATTACCCATTAGTAAACTTTCTAGTCCCTTTTCTAAGATTTAGAGAGACAGACACACACACAGAGACGGACACAGAGAAACAGAGAAAATATGCAAGGTGATTTGTGGATCTGTTTTTCTTTGTGATTTTTACACTCTTCAAAATTAAAAAAGTATTTTTAATGTTTATTAATTTTTGAGAGAGAGAGAGAGAGACAGAGTGCAAGCGGGAGAGGGGCAGAGAGAGAATCCGAAGCAGGCTCCAGGCTCTGAGCTGTCGGCACTGAGCCCGATGCAGGGCTTGAACTCATGAACTGCAAGATCATGACCTGAGCCAAAGTCAGATGCTTAATGGACTGAGCCGCTTAGGCGCCCTGATACTTTTCAAATTTTTTCTTTTACTGTGTCTCTGCTTCTACACCTTCCTTTTTTTTTTTTTTTTTTTTCCTTCCCCTCCATGGACTTTCTGTCTCATTTGGACTCTGCTTAAACTGACCTAGTTTTGTCTTTAATCAAATCTTCAGGAACCAATTCATTACCATTAGAAATGATCTAACAAGCTTCATTTTGATCATTGTTAAAAACCCTTTTTTATTTTTGGATAACGCAATCACAAAGTAAAGAACGCTATCATTTATTTGGCCGGTAAAAGACAACACTTATGAATAAAATTTGAAAAAAAAAAACATATGCCAGCAGGTTTACCTTGATGATAAAAATGATTGCAGCTGAAACCTGCATCAGCCAGACAATGGTTTTAGATCTGCCGTGTGCCCTGAAAGCCGTGAAAAATGTATCGCCCGGCATCTTGATAAGGAAATCAATTACCTCCCTCATTCTGAGTGAAGGGAATGAAAAGATTAAAATAATAATAATAACAACCCAAAGGGCAAGGATAAAACAAACTGGGAAGAGATGCACATTTCAAGCTAGTGTTGCTTTGCCTGAAAATAGCCTTTATGCTTTCAAATATTCACAGTGATTTTTAGTCCTTCATTCCCGAGTCTCAGAAGCCACTGGGAACACCCATCCTAGAAGCAGCCAGCTGCCAGCCTTCAGCCACACCCGGTGCCATTCTTCAGAGATTGTCAGGACAGTTACAGTGTGGCCTCTGATCCTCCCTACCACAGGCGCACCATTCAAGAATCCGGAGCCGCCCCCCCCCCCCCCCCCCCCCCGTGGGCCTGGCAGTACAAAACAAATTTAGTTTCCAGGGGGGGCAGTGACACACAAGCTTTTTTTCTAACGGGGGACTCCATCATACTCTTTGGGACCTCGCTGCTCCCTGAACAGCCCTGGCAAATAGGCAGTGAAGCAAAGTATATCCAAGCCCCATTGGGTCTTCCTAACAGGTCATTTTCCCTGAGCGATACGGGGACGGAATATTTTTATTTCCTGACCGTGGAAAGCTACCCCGAGTAACATCGGCCCCTTCGTTATCTCCTCACCCTCACGAATGCCGCTTTCTCAGCCAGGCAGCTAGACAGCCAACGTCTTAGGAGACTCCAGCTTTTATTAAACATTTATTTGCTTTACTCCAAAGTGAATGCATGTGAGCTTGGTCATAAAACGAATGACCTTTTTTTAGGGGAAGGGAAGGTGGTGAATGAAACATGGGACTCATTTGCCAGCTGATGCTGGAGGCATAGAGTAAATAAAGAGGCTATGGGGAGAGCTCCCCACGCCTCAGCTGGGATGGTGTACCCGTGGATTGAGACTAGAAGGAAAGGGTCCGCTTTGCCCTGCCGTGGGAACGCAGGCACACACACAGGCACACACACGCGCACACAGTGGATCACGCTTGAGGGCAGTCATGGCCAGGCTGGACCTAATTTCACAGGCTCTGCTGTTTGGAAAACTAGAAGCAGATCACAGAGGCAGGGAATGGAAGGCAGTCTTGCAGACATGCCTCAAGCTGTTTGCAGAGAGGGGGTCCCCTGGTCAGAGCAGTGGCCCAGAGATGGAAGAAACAGAAGTGCATCTAGCAAGGGGCCTCAGATTGCCTGTAGCTCTGCCTCCTTCCTGACCCCTCCACTAGGGGACCCTGGGCTCAACCTAACTGAGGAGGGGGCTGGCCAGGCTGCAGGACTCAGGGGAGGAAAGTATAGTGGATCCTCAATCTAGCCCTACTTCAATCCTTTCCTTAAGGATGTCAGCTGTATCTTTGGCCTTTGAACACTCAGAGTACATTTTGATCAAGAAGAATTTTTTTCTTTAAGTTTGACTTATTTAACTAATCTCTGCACCCGATGCGGGGCTCGAGCTCACAACCCTGCAATTAAGAGTTGCGTCCTTTTCCCACTAAGCTAGCCAGGGGCCCTTTAATCAAAAGAATTTTTAAGCTGTGTCATGGAAGGATTCGTGGTGAGGCCAGATTTGAAATGTTTTACGAAGAAATAGGGGTGTCGTATTTAGAACCCAGATCACTCTGGATCTAAGGGGATGGGATTTAAACACAGATTTCAAGATAGACCTGGAGCAATTCAAAGACGTGGCAGTGCTCTTAGGCTTGGGCGACGCCCCTGTTCTCTTCCAGGAGATGAAAGGGACCAGGCTAGCCCTCAGGACATCTTCCACCGGGTAACATCCTGCTCCAGACCTGCCTGAGCCTCCGTCCAGTGGTTCCAGACCAACAGCAAGGGCGCCACCTCCAGGCCAATCCCAAGAAGTGTAGTTTGGTGATCCAGACTGATGTTCCTGGACACATCTGTGTATCCTCAACACAAAAGGTAAAAAAGTCTGGGCTCGTGGGTTAGGAGCACCTTTCCTGGGGAATTCTAGAATCTAGGGTTTCTTTGGGGATCAAGAATCTGAACAGTCCATGCCCTATTTTCCCACCCTGATTGCCCCAAGTGACTTCAGAAAAGAGTTGGGATTCCTCCCATACCAGCCTCGCTGTGTGTTTTATTTCAGGGATCGTTCTTTATTTCTAACTTGTCCTTGACCTCCATCTAAATCACTCTAACCTTATATCCTCAAAGCCAACTCTTCCAGCCTGTCTCAAGAAGTCCCCAGCCTGGGGCGCCTGGGTGGCTCAGTCGGTTAAGCGGCCGACTTCGGCTCAGGCCATGATCTCGCGGTCCGTGAGTTCGAGCCCCACGTCAGGCTCTGTGCTGACCGCTCAGAGCCTGGAGCCTGTTTCAGATTCTGTGCCTCCCTCTCTCTGACCCTCCCCCGTTCATGCTTTGTCTCTCTCTGTCTCAAAAATAAATAAACGTTAAAAAAAAAAAGAAGTCCCCAGAGGGGAAGGAAAAAAAAAAAGAAGTCCCCAGCCTAAGCGACTTCTGTTGTGACATCATGTGAGGAAACACGTAATGGCTAACGTATATGACTCTGTCAGGGAGACATTGCTACTGAGCCAGTGGTTGTCTGGGAGGGTAGTTCCCATCAGCTGACAGCCAGCTCCTGTGCCTGGAGCTCTCTTGGTTCAGTGACTACCTCATCGCAGTCTTCAAAGAGTTGTATATTCACATTTGCTACCTGAGCAGCCCAAACTGTCCGGTAGATACCCTGTCGCATTAGCTGAGGGTGGCAGGAAAGCCCCACCTCCAAAGCCCCATGGCCTGAGAACTTTGCATCATGCCAGTGTGGTTGCTGCTGGTCTAAGCAATTCTGCAAGACTATCACCGAGTTGGCTGAAATTCAAGTCCACCCAAAGGTAAGGAATTCATGGATCCTCTACTTCCTGAACAGCTACCCGTACCCCGGCAGCATATACTGCACATCAGTGTTGAGATCAGACGAGGCATCACTCAGCGTGTCATTGAGGATCATTCAAAATCCTGAACGTGATCGTGCAAGGGGACTTTTGGTGGCCCTGTGGTCTGGAAACTGCCCCTGAGGTCTATCAGCGCTTGAGTCACAGGTACTCTGGCTGAGGACAGACAGTAATGGTTCTAAGGATCAATGGCCGCCTGCCTTGATGCCCATGGCCATCACGTCATCGTGGTGGGAAGCAGGTAGCCTAAGGTGGCACAGTTCACCCTCACCACTGAACCTTACCACTAGATTCCTGATGGAATACATCAGTCAAGCTCTAGAGAACTCTCTCTCCTGCTCCCTGACCACCAGGTGACACAGCTGCACCGCCCACCTTAACTCTGCAAAATTTGCATACAGTTCACTACATTGCCATGTCTACAATACGCTGACACGCATCTCCCCTTCAACCTTCTAAATCACGAACCACCTTACCAGCAAATGGTCAGGACCCCAAGGGTGTACATTAGAATCACCTGAGGAGCTTTAAAAACCCAGAGGTCCCACCAGAAGTAGACACGTATATGGCCACCTGGTTTTCAACAATGGCATAAAAGCAATCCAGGGGCACCTAGGTGGCTCAGTCAGTTAAGCACCTGACATTGGCTCGGGTCATGATCTCGTGATTTGTGAGTTCGAGCCCCGTGTCAGGCTGCCTGCTATCAGCACGGAGCCTGCTTCAGGTCCTCTGTCCCCCTCTGTCTCTGACCCTCCCCTGCTCATGCATTCTCTCTCTTAGAAATAAATAAACATTAAAAAAAAAAAAAAGGAATCCAGTGGGGAAGGGAATGTGCTTTCAACAAATATTTCCAGGAAACTGTATATCCATATGGAGGTAAAGAAACAAACCCCAACCTCTTACCTCACATCATAGACAAACATCGATCCATGATGGATCCTAGACCTAAATATAAAAGCTAAAACTTTAAAGCTTTTAGAAGAAAACACAGAATATCTTCATCACTCAAATATAGGCAAAGGTTTCTTAGGACACGGAAAGCAACAACCACAAAAGAAAAAAAGCCAACAAAATAGACTTATCAAAATTTATAACTTTTGCTTATCAAAAGACATCATTAAGAAAATGAATAGATGAGCCACAGACTGAGTAAAAGTATTCTCAAAATATATATCTGACCAAGGAAAGGTATCCAGGATTCAAAAAGCATTCTTAAAACCCAATAATGAAAACAATCCAATTTTAAAAATAGGCAAGGGATTTGAAAAGACACTTCACAAAGACAGATGGATAGCCAATATGCACATGAAAAAGTGCACTCCATCATTTGATCGGCAGGGAAACTAAAATCACAATGAGATACGTCTACACTGCCACCAAAATGGGTAAAATTCAAGACTGAACACACCAAATGTTGAAGAGAACATAGAGTAACCAAAGTTCTTTTTGGGTAGAAGCTTAAAATGGCACAACACGCCTGGCTGGCTCTGTTGGTGGAGCATGCAACTCTTGATCTCAGGGTCATGAGTTCAATCCCCACGCTGGGTGTAGAGATTATTTAAAGTGAATAATAAAACTTTTTTAAAAAATGGCACAACTTTGGGAAAATGTATGACGGTTCCTCATAAAATTGAACATGCACCTTACCTATGACCCAGCACATCTGTTCCCATGTATTTACCCAAGAGAAATGAAAACAGGTGACCACACACAGACTCCAAGTTGTACAGAAATGTTTATGGAACTTTGTTTGTTTGTTTGTTTTCCTTTAAGTGGGCTCCATGCCCAATGTGGGGCCTGAACTCACAACCCCAAGATCAAGAGTTGCATGTTCTATTGACTGACCCAGCCAGGCACCAGTGTAATTTACTTTGAAATGCATGAAAAATGAGATGGTTTGGGGCGCCTGGGTGGCGCAGTCGGTTAAGCGTCCGACTACAGCCAGGTCACGATCTCGCAGTCCGTGAGTTTGAGCCCCGCGTCAGGCTCTGGGCTGATGGCTCAGAACCTGGAGCCTGTTTCCGATTCTGTGTCTCCCTCTCTCTGCCCCTCCCCCGTTCATGCTCTGTCTCTCTCTGTCCCAAAAATA